ATTAAATGTTCAGAGGTCACCATGTTTTTTTTTACAGTAGACTGGACAAACTAAACATCTTTTGAGTTTTTCTGACAACTGAAGGCTCCCACAGGTTCTCTTCCATGTTTGGAAGGAGAGAATGAGGGGTGTTCAGCTGAAACATGCAACTTCACCACTAGATGTCACTAAATTCTACACACTGAACCTTTCAATTAAAGTTAACTTAATTTGGCCTGCTATAGTTCTGTAATATAACATCTGTCTTACACACAAGCAATCACACCCGCATGCACAAACAGTCGGTATCCCACTTACACAGAAAGAGTTCAGTAAAAAAAAGGGCATGCGAGTAGTGGAAGCCCAGGGAGTATCCACGGTATTCTCTGACAGAAATGCTGTGAGTGTGCTGTGAAAGGTGCAGCCAGATTCAAAGATGTCAGTCAAAAGCACCTATGTCACTGCTCAACCAAAGCAGCACTTCAAATTAGTCCAAGCAGGCTAACACTTGGCAAAAACCACGGTCAGTAGAGATCTCTCAGGTTTGTTCAGGGGAGATCCTCCATGACTGCAGTGCAGAAACAGAGCGTGCATACACCTGGTATGCCAACGTTAGCAAGCTAGACTTAGCTGGGAAGCACAAGATTCACTTCACAATGAGTCAGTTATGCTCTTTTGCTGGAGAATTTTTTTTGCCCTATTTGATCCACCCATGCATTATCTATGCCGTTATCCTTTGAGGGTCGCCTGTGAAGTGGTATTCGCATATTCAGTAACTTTGCACTTGACATCACATCAGGTCCCAAATCTTCTGGTCACAAGCAAACAACAATGAAGCTGTGAATTTATTAACCCTGATGTCTTTGTTAGTGAGGCAGGGTTAGCTGCGTTCGGCTCCAGCTGCCCAACAACCCTTAAAGAAGGTAAGGATAATGGATTGATTTTTCAGGGGTACAAACAGCCTCATGTCTCGTCATCCCCATGGATATGTTATATAATATATATTTATACATCATAAATACATAACATTGTTCTTTCCCTTCCAAAATAAAATGAACTAGTTGGTTTTTGCAGAACATATGACTGAATAAACTGTCAAGATTATTTTTAACATTGTAAAACCATCTGATTGGCTATTCCTTCTCTGGTCATACATGTGGTCACTTGACAGTTGCTCTTTAAAGTGACATCATCTCTTTGCTGTTGTTGGATTAAGTCAACTAAGACAATTTTGGTATTTACCATCTTTTTATGTGTAATCCTTAAAAAAGGCTCTGTTCATCACTGCAAAACATCAGATTAGTTTATGCTCAGCTAAAATATGTTGCACTCCTGCACCTGCTCTTTACGTAGTGGATGCTGCTCCTGTCAGGCAAACTGAGCCTGAGCCAACAGACTGAGGTTTCTCTGAGGATCACACCACTCTAAAGGATCCCTTTGACATGCTTCAGTTTGGATGTAGAAAAACATCCTTTGCTTACAGCGGATCAAACTCGGTTTGAGTGTTTCCAGGCACAGGTCACATCAGGCTACAGGTGAGCCGACACTAATACATTAATTACAAATGTTCTCTTTTTTTGTAAACTGAGACAGGAAAAAACCAAGCGTTCAAACAAGAACGTAACACAGTTCATTATTTTTCAGTTGACAACTTGTGGTAACTGACGACCATGTTGTTCAGGAGTGATGTTTAGCATCTAACAAAACATACCAACATCTTGGTATTTAAACTTTATGCTGTTACTTGATGTTTTGTGTAACTTTGAATGAATGAATTAATGTAGATCAACCTCAACACAGTGGATCAGGGAAGAACAGGAAAACCCTAATGTCCAAAAGGATGTGTTCATAGTGTTAATTGTCACGATTTGATCTGAAATGAACCCCTGGCTGCATTTTGCTGTAGTTATTATTAGAGCCTAACTCCTATGGATTTTTGGGGGGTGGTTATGCTTTTCAGATAAAAAGAGATGGTAGATCCTTGTTTTTGTTGTGTACTCACTGCTGAGTGTGCTGAGGAACTGCTCCTGGATGGGATCCGTCTGCTGCCTCCTCTTCTCCAGGATCTTCTTAACTGAGTCGAGCAGGCCGAACACCTGGGCCAGGTTACTGAGCACCGCCACCTCTACCAGACAGGAATCTGGGATCAGTGCGGCAATCAATCAAAGGGTCACATGGTCAGTCAGAAAGGAGGAACAAATTCAGCTGAAGTATACAATCAATCATTAATATTCAGTGGTTACTCTTACAGAAACCAGCAGTAGCCACAATAAGTTTCTAATGTTGGTTTTTCATCCTTCAACTTCCAGCAGCAGCTGAATTTGTTCTTTCTTTCCATTTGTTTGCGCAGCCCAGAGTCCTGCACACGTTTTGTTATGATAATGCAGTTCTCAGCAGCCAGCGTACATGAGCATGATTCTGTACCTGTGTCCTGTAAGGCCGCCAGATCCCTGAGCTGCTGCACGCCGTTCAGCAGCTCCAGCAGCTCAGTGCTGATGTTGGTCACCACTTCTCCAAGCAAACCCACGTCGGCAATACCCTTCCAGAAGTTCAGCGTGTCCTCTGTGAGAAGACAGCTTTGTGTTTATTTTGATTTGATTTCCGCGACGGGTTATTGTTATTATGAAACTGAGATGTGTTGGGGTGTGTGAGCTCTCTGACCCGAGATCTCGTTGGATTCCTTCTTGTCCACAGACTCCAGTGAGCTCCAGTCCAACTTCCCACTTAAAGCTTCAGGTCTGTCCTCACCCACCGTCCCGCCATTACCCAGAACCACCTGAGCTGCAATTTATATAGAAGAGCACACATGATGCGACAAGAATAAACACAACTGACTGTGTGTGCCGGTGTGACCAGTGGTAAATGTCTAAGATCTGAGGGTCTGTGGTTCACCTGTATGGACTTTTAATGATGATGGTCTGAGGAATGAAAAGCTATTGTGACGTACAGTAGACACACCTCAAATACTTAATGAGGCGCAGGAAGTAATTTGCATTTAAGACCGGGAGGGTCAGACGTCCAAACACAGCTAAATAAATGAATAAAAACTTGCAGCATACTTTTGACTACAGACTCTTACATTTTGATGTTGAAGCATCTTTTTGATGCAAAGCCTTATAAACAGCCACAGCTAACTTTAACTAAAACATAAAGACAATGAAAGGGTCATCTCATGTCTGAGGAAACTGATTTTAATACTATAGTAAAATCAATGGGAGAAAGTGGTTGCCTGTGGGACAGTACTAAGTTTGGAATTCCTGCATTTCTAGCTGTCTCCCAATTCAGGGGCCACCTCCTTTGGAGGCTGCTGTCGAAAAAAACGCCTCCTTCATGAGACGGTCTGGTCTAGAGAGGATTTTAATTATCAGCGTCACCAGCTTGTCCCACCCTTACTGCTGTCGCCTAGCAACAGAGCTGCAGTTGGACACAATGAGAAAGTTGTAACGCCCCTTGGTTTTTTTTCACCGTGTTTATCATTAGCTGCTGGTTGAGTTGAGGCCTGATATATTTAAGCATTGGACTTCTCGTCGCTTCTCGTGCCATTACTTTGAAAAACAATAAGTTGAAATTCAATAAGAATCATACAAATATACATACAAATATAATTTCAAAAGTGTTCGATATTTGCAAATAGCTTAGCCTCTGTGAAATTACAGCCTTCCCAACCTATCGGTTACTATACTGTAAAATGTTCACAATACCACTGGCGGTTGCTGTTGTTGAGGTACATAGTTAAAGCTGAAAAATGGCCGATGGAGTAAAATCAAAATAACAGATATCCTGCTGGTTGATAGATTGTGTTAAATTGTGGTATGTTCTCACCTTGAGAGGATGTGGGCGTGCCCAGTCCGGTGCCATCCGGAGGAAACCGTGTGTTGTTGATGAGAAGGTCAAACTTGGTGCTGCGGCACGTGTTGGTGCACAGCGTGCTGTGCTGGTAGAAGTCCAGCTGACCTGAATCCATCATTTTTCTGGAGAGCAGAAACTAAAAATGTTTTCAAACCGTAATACAACAGAGAGAGGATCGTTCGACACTTACTGGTTCTACATTCACAACATGTGTCTATATTTAAAAATATTATTTCTTTTGGTTTACACCAAAACAAACTTCAAACTGACACGTTAATTGTATTATTTGTTACAAGCAGAGGTTTCTCATTCTTTAAATACACAGGCCTTTTGTCTCTGCTGCCAGTACACAGCATGAAGTGAACCGATTCCTGCTGGACCTCCCCACACTAACAACATGGGCAGTGAGATGGAGATAAACACATACAGTACAAGCATCCCTGATAGGAGCCTTTTTCTGGAGTCAAGTCGATGGTGTTTGGAACAAACGTCGGCCATGAGGAGAAAATATCTCAAACAAAACAGACAAGACAACATTCCAGGAAACACACCTACAGCTACAAATGTTATGTTTCGTGTCGGTAGAATTTTCCAAACCGCACTATGTTTGTCATTTGTCATTACTAATGCAAGTGTTTAAATCAGTTTAAACAGCTGGTGTGTTCACATAAATCTGCTTCTTGCCTTGTCACTTTGCTTCTGTTTATTGTGTATTAACATGGCCGACCACACGGTGCACTGTGTTTTGATTGAAATGTAACAAAAAGATCTTAATCAAAACCCGTTCAGATGATGTGGCTATTGGTCCCACAGCTGCTGGAGTAACGGCACTACCATTATGCAAATAGACAAATGAATAATAAGCAGCCCATATTTAACTGTGGTTCAACTCTTCTACATCTGCTGTGGGTTTGAGAAGATGCATTAGCATTTAAAGATCACAAAGCCAAAAAAAATCTGAAAAAAAAACTCTGTGCTGGGTAATAACCTGCGGGAAGTAATTCCCTCCTATCTGCAGCCTGTGTGTGTGTGTCTGTGTGTGTCTGCTCGTCTCTGTTGCTCACAAAAACTAATAACCACATGTATTTAGTTATTAATCTATGGTGTTGGATCATGAATCTGGATTGTTCCGGTCTTTAACCCTGAGGTCCAGGCTGTGCGTGTCTCCTGTTGTGAGCAGCAGATGAACGAGGTGTGCACGTGTTTAAATACATGCCTCATAAACTCTGAAGTGAATCAACAAACACAAAATAAACTTCAGCACTGTTCAGGTCCTAATAACTTCTGATCAGTGTCGCTGTTTATTGTTAAAGTGTAAAATGAGTGCAGGTCAGGAGAGTGGAGGGAGGACACTCAGACAGGAGACTCTGACGTGATAAAAGATGACTTGACCTTTAATGTACGTCTGGCCTGATCCTGAAGCAGTGGTGGCTATAATTATGCAGCGGTGGGACACGGCTAAAAAAATGTACATAGCAGAAAACATGAATCGATCGTGTTCTGTCTCTGCATCGATGCATCAATGTCCAAAGCCATAATCTAAAGCTGTACACACTATCCGTTACACATGGATCAACATTAGCATTCCTTTGGATTTGCATTATCTGGCCACCTGGCAAATGAACATCTAATACTGTATTAACTCTACATTTGAGCTCTGTTTTGATCACCACCCACTCCTGAGAGAAATACCTGACATTCTTGCTGCTAACTGCTCTGTGTTCAGCAATACATTAGTAAAAGCCTGGGTGCAGACTGTGATGCTGGCTAATTATAATGTATGATCCAAACAACCAGCACTAAGAATATTGAAACTTGGCGTTTGGTGCAAGTCTCCTGACCTGAGCATGACTCCACCCATCCTGATGGCTCTCTTCCAGTCTTTCAGAGTGGCTTTTCCAGAGATGTGCACAAACTGCTTGGGGCTGATCAGCTGGTCTTCATACTAGTGGAGAGAGTTGTTGGTTAGGTCACATTGCTGAGTTCTTTAAGACAACGTTGATGATAGAATACTGCAGTAAAACATTAATAGCATTACTGTGGTCATTTTAAAATCACATGCAGGTTTTTTTTTTTAATACCTTTATGCCCAGAGAGTGGTTAGTGTTATTCTATGTTGAGTTATTAGGGGGTGTAAACTGTATGAGCCAGTCAAGTGTTATGTTAACAGTAAACACCAACACTTGTTTTTAAATTTAAAATGATTAGGACCTGAACAGTACTGAAGTTTACTTGCTTTGACTTGTTCAAGAGTTTATGAGACACTGAAAAAAACATTTTGCACAGTCCACCTGCTACACACGAGACGAGGCGTGGTGTGCACAGCCAGGAAATCAGGGTTAAAGTGACTGGAATGATCCATATTCATGATCCGACACCATCGGCTAACAACTAAATAAACGTGATTGTTTTTGTGAGCAGCAGAGACGAGCAGACACTCCCGCAGACAGAAGAGAACTTCTTCCCACAGATTATGACTCAATGTGGTGTTTTAACTTCATTGTTTCAGAAGAACTGCCTTTCATCCAGGAACATAAATATGAATTCAGCACGTTTTTATAAATCAGTTCTAAGTGTGATTATTATGAAAGAGCAGAGGAGCAGAGTCACTTGTTGAGAAGAGGGGCCACCAAGAGGGGGCCACCAGAATACAGTAAAGGCTATAATCAGAGTTTTTCACCACACAAGCCTTGGTGCATTGATGGAAGTGAGCATCAAAGTAATAACATCAGTATTAATTGTATGTATTTATTTATGTATTAATTATAAGGCGGGGGGGGGGGCTTATTAGCAGGATTTTTGAAAGGCTGACATAGAATGTAATTTAATTTACAGCAGTGTAAAACAATAATTTCGAATAATGTAATTTATTTACTGTTCTGGACCATGAGAAGTGTCAGAGAGTGAACAGAAGGATTAGTTATTTTAAAGGATTTATTAATTTAAATTTTAAAAAAAGTAGCCGGCAGGAGTAACAGTGAAGCTGTATTTATACTGTCACTATAGAATAAACACAAAATTACAATATATAAATAATGTGTATTTTAAGTTGGTGTTAATATACTGTATACTTTTCATTTGAATACTACTGTAAGTACGCAGTTGTGATAAAGCTTACATCTTCTGTTGGATGAGCAGCACAAGAAGTATTTGCATTTCTTTTGAGCCACCATTTGTTGCACTGAGCACAGGTTCAACTCATCCAGTTATTTATTGACACTCATTAAAACCCTCAATAGTCTGTTTTCCCTTGAATAAAACTGTTTTTTCTTAAACAGTCAATAGAACATAAATCATTCAACCATTTACATTTGCAATAAGTACAAGGACACCAGAAGCTTTCAAGTTTAAAGTGATAAGAGGACACATGTCAACAGTAAAAATGGTCTGTAATTATATTGTTGATGACCACTCAAAGCCCTTCACCCTACAGATTTGTTTCCTGCTGAGTGACGAACCATTCAGAATCCTTGCTGTAACTGACCTCTGTGCTGTCATGTTTGATAATAACCATTTCTAGCATTTTTCCAAGTGCTTTAATGATAAAGTTCAAATTTCTTTCAAAATAAACTTTCCATAAAGAATTAACCAACCTTCACGCATTTCACGTTGATTCCTGGACACACAAATTTCTTCAGGAGCAGCATCGCTTTACTGTCGCCGCAGGTTATGGCACAGCCGATCTCCACATCATCTCCCTCTGTTTGTTCTGGAAGAATGAAAAGATGCACGACGTTCAAACATTAGGAGAGTGAAGAAAACAAGCCTTTCGTTTTGCAATCTGCAAAAACGAATGAATCACTAAATCAATCGCTTTGTCCAAACATCGTCCTGATGATCTCTCACCTGGAGGTGCTTCAACAGCCATGACAGCTGCGTCTGTTTCAGCAGATTCATCTCTGAGAAGACAACAGGGGCGTTTAGGGAACTGATATTTGTCAGTGTGCGCACTTGGGTGTAGATCCAAATAAAAAAATGAATCTAATTAATTTAAATGTGGTTTCATAAGGAGACTGTTGGGCCTTCTTCGGGGTATGTGCTCTACTGAGTACCATTCTAGTTGTTTTATTAGTTTACCCCTTGCTTCAGTACATACCCAGTGGTGATCGGCTGGAGCTGGAGGATGACCTGCGTCTTATTAGGGTCGTCGGGGTCACCCTCTCCGTCAGCTTTTACCATAACCACCTCCCCCATGGACACTGCAACCTCCTCGGTGGTCGCCATCATGCTCACAACAGACTTGAGAGGGAGGCCGCTTTCACAGAACAGCTGTCCAGGAGTTTATTCATCTGGAGGAGGAATAGAAAAAGAACCTCAAATGAAGGTTGATATTTTATCACATCTTCCTGTGATCAAGAAGCATAAGCAGAGATGGAAATTATTGAAATAAAACCTGTTTAGGTAAAGTTGTTTTAGAGTTAACAATAAAATGAATTAGGCTCAATTAAGATCATCTGTATTTATATAGCTTTTTTAATCTTGATGACCATTCAGACACACTTTCATACAGTGCATCTATGGGCAGCACTTTTTCTATGAGGGGAAATTCGGGTTCAGTATCTTGCCCGAGGACTTTTTTCATTTCGTGTCCGTTGTGCATGACGAACATCATCAACACACCCACTTCCTGACTGTGAATCCTCTGGGTAATCTCTTGCTGTGTTCTCACAAGCTCACTTGGACCTTCTCCAGAGTTTATACTAAGAAAGTCTGCAGGCCCTGCATCTGCTATTAGCATTCTCACATTCAAGGTGATGGACAACGCAAAGACAACAGAGAAAATGAAAAGAAATCAATCTGAAATGCAAAGGCACAATTTTAATCAATTTTCAAGCACAATAACAGATTAAATAAAGAATAATTGAGGTAAAGAGATTCAAAGGGGTAAATGATATAACTGGATAAAATCTGTATATATATATATATATATATATATATGAGTATGTGTTAAACTTTACAAATTTAGAATGATCAATACAACAGTAAGAGTAATTTAACACTAACACCTTATACTTCAGAAACCCCAGATGATCTGTGTTTGTGAGCTAATGTGAGAATTTGTAACTTGCTTGATTTATTAAATTATCTTCAATTAACGTTGGTTCACATTAACCACCGGAGGACAACAAGCGGCAGAATGAAATAACCCCGGCTCGGTGCGCTGAGCTGTGCTTCTGCTCTCACGCTGCCATTTATTCATGAACACCTCCAGCATCAACATGGAGCTTCAACCTGACACCACAGCGCGAGCTGGCTGCTGAGGCTGCGTTAGCTGCGTTAGCTTCGCCCCGCACACAGACACGCTCGCATGTGATAAAGTGGGTGAATGGCGGTGGGCAGCTGGCCGCTTTTAGCTGCCGGGATCACGCACGGCTCCGCTCGGCGGTGGCCATTACGGCCAAAACGCCAGGGCGTAACTCGATGCGCGGGAATGTGCAGCTCGCCGCCTCAGTAAACTGCCCGACACGGCGGAGGCTTTTGCGTTTCCCGTGTGGCGGTTACGTGCCGCCTGTGTATGAACCGTACGTCCCTTCGTAACTCTGCATTTTAACTCTCCGCTCCCCCTCAAAATGACGTCTCCCCTGTGCGGCGGCACGTACGGCAAACAACGGCGCGGCGACGGCGCTGCTCCTCCATTCTGTGCGAGCCTGCCTCGCCGAGCCCCGCCGCCGTACGGGCCGAGCCCCGCCGCCGAACCGGCCGCCAGCGTCGTGGGAGCGGCGGGTATTGACGCCCCGCGTGTATTTAAGAGCCCAGAAAGGAGAATGAGCGGGTTCTTACCGTTTAATGCAGACAAACACATCCCCAGAAAGTGCACAGACGCGGCGCATGCGTACTCCGCTCATGCAGCTTGACTTCCTGCTGAACAGCGCTCGACTTGTTTCCACGCTCCTGCGAACACGATGCTGAGAAAAGTCCAACTTTCCTCCATCAGACCCCGGAGGAGGACAGAGTTCACCCAGACCCGAGTGTCCCCAACACGTGGACACACTTTATATGTGTGTGTGTGTGTCTCTGTCTGTCTGATCGGCGATGTAAAACATGTCAGATAGATGGACAGAGAGATAGACAGAGATAGATATACAGATAGAGAGATAGACAGAGAGATAGATAGATATACAGAGAGATAGATAGAGAGATATACAGATAGAGAGATAGACAGAGATAGATATACAGATAGAGAGATAGACAGAGATAGATATACAGATAGATAGACAGGATGATAGATAGATAGATATACAGAGAGATAGATAGAAAGATAGATAGATAGACAGGATGATAGATAGACAGGACGATAGATCGATAGATGGATATACAGATAGATAGACAGGACGATAGATAGATAGATAGATGGATATACAGATAGATAGACAGGACGATAGATAGACAGATAGATAGATACACAGATAGAAAGATAGATGGATATACAGACAGATAGATGGATTGATCCCAAATTAAGAAATACCTGTGTTAGAGCACCACAGTATCAGGAAAATAATACAAAAAGCAATATGTAAAAATATAAGATAAAAAATACAAATGAATCAATAAAGAATATAAAAACCTAACATAACACACACACTGAAAAATAAAGCTTCAAAAAAAAAAAGTATCTTTATAAAGTCTTATCAAATCAGGGCTCCCCTGTCTTTAAGTTGAAAATGAAGTTCCGGGCTGATTCTTTTGGTTCCTGAGATATCCTGAGTCTGATACAGGTCTGATGTTCCTTCCTCCTTTAGAATCATCTTGAGCTTTGAGACAGGGAGGCCAGTCTTTATTTCCAGCATGTCACAAAGTTTCAGCCCTGGACTGATGGCCTCCATGAATGCTTCAGTGATGTCTCATTCAATGTGACCTCTGCGGAGTTGTCCTTTACTGCACGAGGTTGGTGTACGACAATTCCTGTCCACTCTCACCAATATGGTCACTTCAGGCACTACAAGTTCATTCACAAGAGGGTCGGACATGTGCAGTTTTCCAGTATAGCTGCTTTCAGACATGCACTGAACTCCGGAGACTCTCCCCGTTTTCTCCAGAGGAGGTGTAGGTGCGAACGAAAATGTCCGAGTGAGAGCCTATGGAGTTTCTGCTGACATTTTCTCCTGGCCCCCCTGGTAGAAAGCCTGCAGAGAGTCAGCAGAAGTGGATGTGAGAACACAGCAGGGGATCCCCCGCAAGTGAGTGGGGGTGTTGATGACATTTCTAACACGCGACAGACACAAAAATAAAATAAAAAATCCCAAAGAAAGCAGATCTCTTCCAGTGAAAAAGCAGTATCATTCACGTGTTCACATGCATGTGGTTTCCTGCTTTAGCCTGCTGCCCCCTCACCTGAATCCTTCTCGCTCCTCTTTCCACCCACTTCTCACCCTTCATGCTCTAAATAACCTTAAACCTTAAAGAAACGTTAAATAACCTTAAACTGTTAAAATGGCAGAGTTTTAGCATGAAATGACAGCTGGTTATCCTCAATTCTGTTTGAATATTGTTGAAGTGCACGCTTCCTCCTTGTGTCTGCTGTGTGGGTGTGTGAATGTCTATGGTTATGAGGGCCTTCTGGTTCAATATCATCATTGTGAGGACATTCTGGCTGGTTCTCAAACAAGGACTGTCTGAGTTAAGACTTGGTTTTAGGGTTAGATTCAGGTTAAGATTAGAGGAAAGGATAAGACATGTGTTTTTCATAGTTTTGGTTTAAATGAATGAACAGAGGAAATGCACCATTTCCATTCTAATTTGTTATTTTTGTTTTTTTTATGGGAAAACTGGAGGTTCCGGATATCTGGATATCTGGCCTTCGATTCCACCCTGTTTACCTCCTGAGCCACAGTCGCAGTGTGTGTGTACAGCTATCATTTTAAAGCCCTTAAAGAGTGGGGGCATTTAGGGGAAGTGAGGACCTTCTGACTCACCTCTGATGAGCTGCTTCAGGGTTAAGACTTGCTTTAATAGTTAGGGCTAGAAATAGGTTGAGGTTTGAGTTAGGGTTCGGGTTAGACACTTAGTTTTGATGGTTAAGATTAGGGTAAGGGGAGAGGAAATGCATTATGTCAATGAGTTTCCTCAAAACTCTAAAGAGACAAATGTGTGTGTGTGTCTCAGGCTTATCAGCAGTCAAACACCCAGACAACCTTATTTGCATGACACATTTTATACTGAGGGTAAATGCTGTGAAGTAAATCTGACAAAGCAGCGGGACGAGGCGTCACCTTGTGTAATGTTTACGACGCGGATTATTGACAGTAGGTCTGGCGACACAAGTAACTTAGTGCTGCTAAAGCACACATACAGGAAGAAATGATATCTGTCCTTATCCAGGTTGAATCTGGTCCAAATCTATTATTATCCTGGTGGTTATTCTGCAATCTGCAGGTGAACTGACTGACCCCCGTCCCCTTAAAGAACAGAGAAAAGAGCCAGAGGTTTGTGACAGCTCTCAGAAAAGAATGGATCCATAAGAAACTCTCCCTCCAAAGAGACATGATTCCAATACTACTGTGTCTCTTCAGAATTAAATGTATTTCGACTTAGTAGAGGAGGTTGTCTAAAGTGTATTCATGCTCACTTCTCTGTTTCAAACTGTTTATATTATTATTATTGTACATGTTTATTTGGGGCGCCAGGACAAAACGATCACTAGCAGCCCCGTGTTGCAAAAATTGTGCTTCCGAAATCTCTTGATGTCGATTCCGCAGGAAACGAGACACTCGCCACATCTCCTGTGCCAAACAAAGCAGAAGCCCTTTTTAACGAGGACACTGAACATCGCACTGTCTCTGTGTGGGCAACATGTTCTTCTGTCAGAGGCTCGTCGCCTGCTGCAATGTTTTACATCCACACGTGCTCTGTGCTGCTTCACACAGTCTGAAGTTATATCCACAAATATGATCCCAAATGTGTTCGTGTTAGTTCTTACTGTTGAAAATTGAGAACAACTCTCTGTGCGGCACGGACCACCGAAGAGCATGACGGGTAAAAGGGGCGGGGTCTGCGAATTGCTGCTGCGTTCAGGTCATGTGGGTAAATCGACTGGTACCAGGAAAAGGATCTATTGACCTACTGCAAACATCTCGGAGAATTGTCTGATACATGACGGTTATAAACACTACATTGTGCTAAGTATTTTATAATCTATAAATGAAAGAATCCCTTTTTCTGAAAAAAATTCAACAAGATAATCCTTTTGAGTTCCACTATTTGGATATTTGCAGTGTTACAGATAATAAGTCAGTAATGAGTAATTGAATGGAGAGAAAATTATTGTTGCACAGTTAAATTTGTTGGAACAAATATACTGAGATATATAAGGTCCATATGGTCTATTGAGAGTTTTAGATATAACGTTTTTTTATACGTTTTTTTTACTTCCAGAATCCCACACATATAACTGAGGATATGATTCAGAAACAGGTAACACAAATTATGTGTTCTGTTAGAATGTCATTTCTGAAAGACGTGATAACATCAGCTACACTTTCACGTATATTAAACAGATATAATTTACAGGACATCCACTACATCCAAGTACAGCTCCCAGCTAACTCTGTGTGCTCGACTATTTTATTTCCCTCTGGACCTGATTGTAGAAATATCTCTCCCCCTAGTTATTAAAACACAACTGAACTAATCTAACTTTCTTTGGGTGAAAGGTGGCACTATAGACTCAGCTCAGTCTTAGTAAAAGCATGACCTTTTCTAAATGTGTATCTTGACCACAGTATATAAATTCATAATAACCAATCTAGGTCATGGTGATGCTCCTATCTGTCAGAAGAGGGCGCCAAACCCTGTGAAAAGAAAAACACAATGACTCCAGCCAGGCCAAGCATCACTCATTGGGCACCCATTTATTTTTTTTTACCAATCAATAAAATCACATCAAATAAATGACATTTATTCAATAAAGCTGTGAAATGTGACCATGGGGCTCGGGTATAGTTTTGTTCCAGGTACCATCCTGTGGGACAGAAGCCCGATCAGCGGG